AAAAAAATGAAAGATATGAACATTTTGCACAATAACATTGATAGATAAGAATGTTTGGTGTTAATTGCCCTAAATATAACTAATATAGATATATAATCTCGTATAAAAAAATAAAAATGGTAAAAATTAAATTTATATTATAGTGAGAGGACTCAACTGAAAGTAAATTTATGGGTGTATAGATGAATTAGAAAATAATTTAGATGAAATTGAAATAATAATTGAAATTCTATAGTTATAGTGCAAAGAGTGTGATTTGTACTTTTTAATTATAATAGTTTGGTCTATTTAATTATTTCTAATGGCAATTTTGTAATTTCCTAACAATTTTTTTTTTTTGTTAAATCATAATCATACTGTAAAATATGTGTGAAGTGTAAAAAAAAAAAAAAAAAAAAAAAGGTTGGTAAAGTGTAATTTGTAAATTTTTAAGAAGGAAATGTTCGAGGCGAAAATGGCACTAAGGCAACGGTTACCAATTTCTCTATTGCTAATGACGAAATTATGAAACACTCAATAATTAATAATTTCATAATATCATTTTGATATTCCTCAGAATATTGTATAGATAAAATAGATATCTTAGAGTTCGAGTTTGGAACGAAGAGAAAAAAGTCGTCGGATTTATACTAGTCTATCGCCCATCTGATGCTCGAGCAAAAAAAAAAAAAAACAATAACCTTGTCGCCCGCCTATTGCTAAGCTATCGTTCGAGCGACACACTTGTTGCTCACTTGTCTCTTGAGCGATAATGTTATGCATAAAATCCTAGTTCGCATTCTTCAAAAATCTTAACCGGCCCATCTATCTAAATGCCTCCTACTATATATACCAAAGCATTTAATTTATTTATTGATTCTTGAATTCATAAAACCATATATTTCGGTAAAACATCAATTTCATGAGCCTGTTTGGAAGTGATTTTGAGAATTGATTTTTTGACCGTTGGGAGAAAAGTGGGGTTCACCTGTGAGAGAAGAAGTCAAATATGACGGCTGAAATAGTAAAATAACGGTAAAAAAATTAATTTTTTGAGCGAAAAAATCACTCCCAAACAAGCTCATAATAAAAAACAGCCACTTCCTATACATATACAGGAATGTACTTTTTCAATAGCTTTCGAAAGTTATTGAAAATGAAGGTTGGACAAGAAGCACAGTAAGAATACAAGAACAAGGTGTTTTTGGTGATCCATGGGAGATAGACAATCTCAAAAAATCGGGAATAAGTGTGAGTGAAACACTTTTCAGGGGGTCTTGAAAATTGTAGGAAGTAGATCAACGAGTTTAGTGGAACTTTTTAGACTGGATAAGTTCATCATTGTCTATAGTAGAGTTTATTGCTTGGTCACGAAATTTCTACCCCAATTAGGCTTTTCTGTCATCAATTATTATGTTATTTATTGCTTTCATGTTATAAAATGTTACAGTTTAACATAGGATAATTAAACTTTTTTGGTTAAAAGTCCAAGAAAAATTAAAAAGTGACTTATTGTTTTTTATTGTATAATTTCGCATGTTGAATCAAAATTAATGGCTAAATAGAACCTTCAAGCCAATCTAGGAACCTTTCAATAAATTTGTTAGCATTCTTAAAATTAATGCACATTTGAGTATATTCTTCGTTATCATATGTCGGCCATGAGGCAAAAGGTATGACTGCACATGGTCCCGTAATTACAAAGGCAGTAGGTTATATATGTATTTATAGTTTTGGATTAATTTGAATAACGTTTCTAGAAGACTCCTTTTTTATTTTATTTATTTATTTTTTTGCCAAAGACAAAGTGCAGTAAATTAGGGAAAAAAATGTGGCTACCGTTCAATTCACAATAAATAGCCCATATATAAGACTAAATAAATAATAAGAAAAACGAAATTTTGTTATGTAGCATGTCCCCTGAAGTGGTTTTGAAATATACTACCAAAGGTAAAAAAATTAGAAAAGTATGGTATTTCCTACTTTGTCAATGTCATGCGTGTTTTTTATAATTAAATAAAAGGGACGTAATATTTTAGAATTTATACTGAACACTCAAAATCGTAGAACGCGCCATGATTATCGCTAATTTATATTTTTATATTTACTTGCAACAAGCATAACAAAACCAAACAGCAATCTGGATCCCAAGCACTATGTTCAACTCCATTACTTCCAAAATTGCAGATTCAACAATTTTTGGCTAACACGTTACCTTCCCAAATGGTAATAAATATAAAATCCATGAAATTTTCTTGAATCAATTTTCTTCAATTTCTTGATCTAAAATTCTCCCAGTAATAGCAGCTGCTAGTGCAGCTGTGAAACTGGAATTTCTTGTTAAAGTAGAAGCCATTTGTTCAACCATTGATTTAGAGATAGAGGTGGAGGATGAAACATCAGTTACACCCTTCGATAATTCTATTGAAATTTCATCTTCAGAAGGATTCTTGTGGTTGTGTTTGCCTTCATAAGTGGCTACTAAAAGAGATGGATCATTAACACTTTTTTGCACCTGCAAGTATAAATCAATTATTTCCTCAAACAAGTCGGTGTTCTCGTGGAAGACGCAATTTGAAAAATTTAAGTTTCTAAATAAAATCGTGAAATATGATAATGAAATAAGTAGAGTTTCTGAATTCAAGTATCGTTACCATTATATTTATGAAAAAATGTGCCCGAGTGAACTAACAGCACTTGAAGGGACGTATTGGAGTGTATTTTATCTATTTTAATGTGTTTTTCGATCTAATAGTGTATGTGACAAGGTATTGGATGGAATTCAAAATCCATGAAATGAACTCACCTTCTTCTTGACTGGGCAAGTTGGGGCCAAAGAGCACCTATAGTAGGCTCTAGGAGATGGATTGTCTCGGGTCACCTTTTGTCCATATTTTCTCCATTGATATCCATCCTTTACTACCTGTAGTCAAAAGCTTGTTACATAATTTTTTCATTAAATCACCTGAGGCTTTAGTAACAAAGATTTTGATAATTTTTTTTGAAGATTTTAATAATAGTTGATGACGTATGTGGTTGAGAATTTGATAAAGTTATGGATCCCACATGGTGAAAATTGAAGTTATGGATCCCACATGAGAATTAGCTAGCAAATGAGATCGTTCGACAAATTTTCATTAAACAGTGTGTTTTCGAGCTCTAGAATTAACTTACTAGGCTCACATCAGATGGATCAATGCGTACATAAACCTTCGAAATATTTGAAACAATTTCTTTAGGTGTCGCATTTGGCCCACCATCACAGCAACGACAAGTACTGATTTCATTTGTTTCGACAAAATTGTCACAATTTTCTGTATAATGGGCCTTTCTCTTTCTTGATTTCGTGATTTCATCTTCGGAGTACCTTTGCATCAAATCATTGTATTTTCCGTAGATAGTATTGAGTAAATCTGTTAGCTTCTTGTTCTCAGATTTCATCTGATTTAACTGCTGGATCAAAAATTGAACAGACTGCATATAAATAACAGGTTTATGGTTAGTGTCAAGCAATAAATACCATGTCAACTAATTACCAAAATATAAATCAACATAAAACGATTTTGACTACTCATCTAAATAATATCGATATTTTAAGATGGAATCCCAAGTTTTAATATGGTATCAGAGTTCATCAAACTCCAACGAGCAATTTAATTCAATTAAGACTTAAAAATCAGTACAAAATTTCTACTCAAATGAACCACCATATTGTGGAAGCATGTTGAGGAATAAATCCCATGTCAGCTAATTACCAAAATATAGACCAATATATAAGGTTTTGTATTACTCCTTTTAATAAGGTAGACTTTTCAAGATAGAACCCTAATAGTTAAAAATTAAAAAGAAAGTGAGTACCGTAGAAAATGTTACAGTGAACACTTCATAACGGTTAGAAAATGTCGTGGAAGCTATTGCCATCACAAGGGCTTTATTAAATCAAAACAAATGTAATGTTTTTGCGCAATAGTTTTAAGTCATAGTTAATTTGGCGTGCTTTCTTTGAACGAGACAGAGAAAGAGTAGGTGAGCTGCCTTTGGTTATGAGTTCGATTCCCTCTACCAACACTTCTTGATCGAGCCTATCACACAGGGTTTGCCCAATGTGATTTACCTAATTGGCGTGGTTTGCAGACTATTTCGTCAACCCGAGGATTTACCCAGTGCGCACCCGAAGGGTAGCGGCTACGGATTCTCCCGTCATAAATAAAAGAAAAAAAAAATGAAATGAAGAAGAACACAACCGAAGAGAAGACTTATAGATTAGAAGAAATAAATTTATATTGGAATTTGTTTTAAGGGAAACTAAAGTACCACACAATGGCGGAATATTGAACTTTGCTTGTACTCACCTCGTCTTTCATTGATGACTTGCTTTCACAGACAAATTCCTTTTCAATCTCCCTAATCTGATCGAAAAACAAAATAAATTAATAAATCAGTAAATATTTGCTATATAAGAAAACTAGTGTGTACACAGAGAAGTAAAATTATCAGAAGTTTTAGTTTCTTTTTCTTCGTTCATATTTAAGTATACTTACGGGTCCCACGTACCGGAATTTCGCTCTGGTTATGCTTGGGATTGGTGTTGAGGTCAATATCAAGAGTTGTATCCATTGACATGTTGAAGAACTCTTAAGCAATTTGCACTCCTAAGTTTTGGTTTCTTTGATCCAAATGAACGATTGCACATATTTATATAGGGGTCGGAAGCAGTGGTTTAAAAATCTTGAAGTCAAGTCGTTGGTTTTATATATAATGGAAATTTCGAGGAAATTAAGGTTTTCAAGAAAAAGCAAGTACATCGTTATCAACTTTGTCCGTGGTCCTGGTAACACATGATTTGGTCAAGAAATTCTGCAAGCTAATCAAGAATTCAACATTTTCTTAGTGATTAAGCTAACATATTCGCGCAGAGAGAGCATCTAACGACTTTCAGGACCGTGCTACATGTACGTAATGGTTTACCTAACCGTTTACACCCTATTCACATCATCAAGGTGGGGACCATGACTCGGCATTATTAAATACACGTAGAGCCCGCGTGTTTGTGAGAGGGGGTAAACGCTTCGATAAACCCCCCTCAGTACAAATAGATTAATTCTAGAAGATAATATTCAGCAGGGTAGTCGCACCACGTGGTAGTGCGACCGCCCTATCAAAGTGTGCCATCTCGAGGGTGGCCCACCACACACCCTTGATGTGTGTGGGCCATCCGTTGAAGTGACGCCTCAACATTGGGCGGTCGCACCACGTGGATGGTGTGAACGTCCCACTGAAGATTCTTCTTGTATGTGGATGTTACTTTCAAATTCCAAATTGTTTTTCCCAACATCAATGTTTAACGAAAGTTGTCTAAGTCGAAGATTAATAAACAAACAAGGTGATTTTTTTTTTGGGTAATTGGAACAAAACGTTCCTACTTTTCGAGTGTATTGTGGAAAACGTCCCTACATTATTTTTTGGCATTTTTTCTCCTATTTCCATCTTTCTTTACGTTGAAAGTCCTTTTCACTGTTTTTTTGGTGTAAAATGAACAATATGCCATTCTATTTAAATAAAAGAAAAATGAAAAGAAAAAATTGCAACTATAAGCGAAACTTCTAAAAAAGTGCAAATGCCTCCCAAAACTTCACATTCTTCCCACATCTCACCCCCACGCCACCGTCATTTGCCATCCATTTCCAACTACATTCCGATCAGCTTGGCCGTCGGACCAACATACCAACTTGAAGCTCTTGCTTCCCTCTTCACAACTCACCTAACCATTGGCTGAAAATATAAAGGAATTGGTTGAAAAATAGTGCCAAAATAGGCTGTCGACGCAACTTCAATAGCAAAATCGACAAATTCAACTCCATTTTTCGCCGTCGACGTCATGATCGAGGATGATGGACCACCCCTCTTAGCATCGCCTCTTCAAGAAGAACCTAATGAACTTATGGGTCATTGTCAATTTTAACCAGAAATTGTAGAACCAGGCGATTTCTTCTACAGTAAAATTAGCAACTTCAACCACATTTTTCGACGCTGGTGTCACGATTGACGATCGCGGGCCAAGCACCGCCTCATCAAGACGAACCTAATGAACCCATGGGTCATCATCAATTTTGGCCAGAAATTGTAGAAGTAGCCTCGATAGTTCATACACAAAGAAACTCGACCGATCCCCTTTCAATTGATAATGCTACAGGGCTTCAATCCACCAATTCTAGCATGTAATCATCAACTAATGTGGATCCTCCATCAATTGCGTCAATTCATCAACCAAACGATCAATTTTAAAGATTGAACTCAAGAACTATCGGCCGAACGCGAACTCCAATTTTCTGGTTGTAAATTTTGATTTTCAGCTTTGTTTGATGATATGAAGACATCTATAGGAGCGCAATGAGGAGCACGATCTACCTGGAGGATGGGTGTGCCATGGGTGTCGTCGATAATGAAGTTTCCAGCCTCAATTTTTGGCCGTTTCATGTTGCATGAGCAGCCTATTTTGGCGCAATTTTTCGGCCATTGGTTGGGTGGGTTGTGAAGAGGGAAGTGAGGGCTTCAAATAGGTATGTTGGTACGGCTTCTAAGCTGACCGGAAGGTGACTGAAAATGGTTGGTAAGTGGCGGTGGCGTGGGGTGAGGTGTGGGAAGAAGGTGAAGTTTGGGGGGGCATTTGCACTTTTTTAGAAGTTTAGCCTATAGCTGCAATTTTTTCTTTTATATAAGTAAGAGTGCATATTGATCATTTTACACCCAAAAGACAGTGAAAATGACTGTTGACACAAAGAAGGGTGGAAATAGGAGCAAAAATAAAAGGTAAGAACGTTTTCCACAATACACTCGAAAAGTAGGGACATTTTGTGCCAATTAGCATTCTTTTTTTCTTTTTTATTTTACTAACTTCAAATGAAGTAGTATATGAATCGGCAGACGACATCACTCATATTTGAAAATTGTGCATATAATATATTATATTTAAATACATAATTTAAATAATTAAATAGTTATATTCGTTTAAATATAGTAATTAAACATATATAACTCATAATTGGATAGAGATATGTATGGATGATTTCTAGTAACTACACACTCTCTGTGACGAGAAGTTTCTTGTACAATTTATATGGGCATTTACTCTAGATGTGAATTGAGATGTTTAACTAGCCACTTTCTTACATCAATCAAATGCTAAGTTCAGAACGGAAAGAGGAATTAGTCTATATGGATTTAGAAAAAAATGTAGAAAATCTTTTATTGCATATATTATACTTTATATTCAAATATTCTGTGTATAAAATATTTTATCATTGCCAACTCCAACCTTAGTCACTTCGGTATACTAAATATAATGCTAATATATTTGGCATAATGAATTTGCTTTTTCAAGAATTGAGATCTAAAAATGATTTATTTGCATTTACTGCTCCGTGCAAATATGTTTGTGCTACGTGTTTAGTGAGATCACTTGATTAAATCATTGGTTATACATCAACACATTCTTCAAGAATCATGTGATCCAAATTTCTATTGAATGAAATAATTCCCAAACTCTATTTCTTTTCCACCGAATATTTGAGATATTTTGACACTTTGGTGGCTTGTTGTCTTGATTTTGTTTGTATCTTTTGTTCATTCTCGTGGACTTTCTTGCATTAATATCACATTTGCCCAAGTATGTTATTGTGGTATTATGCTTTCTTGCATTGATATCATATCACGTTTGTCCAAGTCTGTTATTGTGGTATTATACTTTATTCTTTTCATATGGTAAACACGAAAGTTGGTGGAAGAGAAAAATCTCCAATAGGAAAGTACATACACGTCTCTACCTGTACGATATAAATTCATGTACTATATAACTCTTTAAATAGGAAATAAGGCAAAAATTCATATACTATATAAATTCATCGACTAATATTTTATGTGAAATCACTTATAAAGAAATATGAAAAAGTGAGAGAAGTACTTGGTGGTTACTTGGAGTCAACTTCGATGATTAAGTCAATAAGAATACAAAAAATAGAAAGAACTCAAGAGTTTTTGAGTTGTTTTGTTTCATAGATTACTTACATCACATTTATTAATGAATATTGGTAGTTATGCATCAAAATTTAATTTATAAAACTTTTTAATTCCATTAATCCTTGTTAAGACAGGTCTTTTTTTTTTTTATACACAATTCAAAACTAATTATTTAACACTAAAATTAATGATAGAAAAGAAAAGAAATAGAATTACAATGACTTAATCATGTAGTCAATGGAAGTATATTGGATTATAATTGGTTAGGTATACAATTTTTCTTTTCTTTACACGTTTCTTGACAAACTTTGCAAAAAGCAACTAAAGTCAAAAAATGTTGTTAAAAAAGTTGTCAATTTCTCCTAATATTACGTGACGTTTTGCTATTGACGTAATGAAGAAAACGTCATTCGCTAATTAAAATCTTACAAAATCATTTGGAAGTTCCATGGGAAATAAATGTAAATTATATACTCTGTCAAGCCCTGTCCCCCCTTCAGATTTGAGTGTCTCTCGAGTTATCTGATTAAGGAATTCAATTGAGCTACATTAGCATTAATTTTCTTTCTTTGCCAATTGGATTTGTTTCTTAATTATGTAAACGAGTTATAATCTTTATATTTGCATTTACTCGTATTGTTCTTAATTTTGAACATTTTTATAGTATTTTCAGGACATATTCTGATACTGTACAGGAGGTGGATCCCAAAAGAGCTCATAATAAAAAAGGTCGCCGTTATAAGTTTATATATATATATTCATTTATTTAAAGCACTTTGTTTAGAAAAGAAATTTTTTTCGACAAGTTGAAATGCACAAAACTTGTGTGTGACTATTGTCCAACACACATAAAATATGGTCCATATAAAAGATTAATCAATACTAAAATACACAAGAAAAATCTTCTAAAAAGCCCGCCCTCGGTCTTGTAATAGGGTTATATTTAGTGAATGAATCTAGAATTTTATTTTATTTATTTTTTTATGCATGTTTCTTGATATAATGCAAGAGAGTACTCTTTTAGATTTTGTACAAGGCACTCAAAATTTCTAGGCTGACCTCGAGTATTTTGAGTTGTCAATACTAAATTCTTTATTTGTGTGTTAGGATTTTTGTTTTCCTTCAAAAGAGAGAAATTTAGGGTTCAGTGTCATCCAATTTATTTTTAAATAAAAATATGAAATTTCAATTCTTTTGATTCGAATTGGTATTTGGTGGAATCAAATATGTATTGATCAAATGTAATATTCGATATTTTTGCAGACCTCAATAAATATTTTATATCTAGATTTGTAGGTGTTGGATGAATTTTGTGAATAGTGACGCTGAAATAAGTATAATGATGGTGACAAAGCCGAGGCAAGAGTTGGACTCTTTGTCCTTAAGTCGAATTTGCCCCGCAACGGTGCCTACGGATTTCAGCAATCGACTCCCAAGATACAACGGCTACACTTGTGTTTGTAGCACTCCAAAACACAAGTACAACGAACCAATTTAGGCTTATGTACTCCAAGAATGAAATGAAAGAAAATCAAAATAAACGAAATGATTTTGATTTTGAATAGAAGAGAGGATGAGAAACGTTTTGCATATCAAACTGTGTGGAATAGGACACCCAAAGGGTCCTATTTATAGACCATGAAGGGGTGTGGACGAAATGGTTG